CCCTCAGATTCATCTCTATAATTTCATTCATAATTGTAATGATCTCCCTTGTGTTTTCAGAGATTAGACTAGTATGAAGTTGGATAATCTCAGTCTTGTTAGTTAATTTACTCGTATATCGAGCTACTTCACCCATTTGTACTATGGTGTCACCCATCATACGTTCTTGTTTGCCTACCAGATAGTGGTAATATTCGTATGTGTCCTGTCACCCAACTTTTATACAGTTGATATCCCTTTCCAGGTTAGTGATTTGAATCTTACATTATTAGAGTTTGCCCTTTAGCTCTCTTATTTCTTTCCATAGAGTTTTGTTTTCTTCAAGAGAAGCTCTTAATTCCATTGATGCAGGTGGAACTCACACTTGAATCAATGATTGCTTAAGATGGGAGATGTGGCTTTTAAGATCGTCATTCATGACTTAAGATTGACTCAACTTTTTTTTTGAACCTTATCTGCAATTCTCCCATTTCCCCAGTAAGCTCATCCACTCCTTAACTTTTTATGCATAACCTTTGCATCCATGACACAATCTCTGCCTGCTTTCTATCAAGTATACGATTCCAACCCTACTTTTCGGACCGCATTTCATCCTTATTTTGTTCTCTTTCTTCTTCGACCTCTAGAATTCTTCGATCTATATATTTGAAATCTTCGAGTATGTTGTTCATCCCAGTTTCCAACCACTGGACTCGATTTACTCGTCCTCTAAATCTTTCATACTGACTTCTTTTTCTTCCTTGAATTTTTAGCTTTACGAGTCTTGGCTTTATATTGCTTTATCAACTCCTTCTTGTCAACTTCTAGTTCCCCTAATCCTTCATTCTTAGCTTCTAGCTTCTTAAACTAATGCTTGTTCTTGACCTCAAGACTTTTAATTTAACGCCTTGTAGCCGTTAATTCTCTAGCTCACTGTCGTGGTGCTTTACTAGCCCAACTCCTCTTGTAGCTCGCTACTGCCTTTGATAATCCTTTCTTAGGTCTTCTAGGTTAGCTTCCACCACTTCTTTTCTTTTTCTCATCATTTTAAACTGTTTGGCATGAAATTCAGCATCAATAATTAGCATGAAGTGTTCCCTTTCCATTTCTTTAATTCTCTTCGCATCTTTGGATTTTTCCACGTCGATATTTTTTGTGGATTTCCAAGATTGAAGAAACTTTCCTGAATTGTTCTTCCTTTGACATCAACCCTTCTCTAGAAGATGAAGGGATTTTTTTTATTCATCCTTTGAATTGTCCAGGCTTCATAATCAACTTTTAGCATGACATCAGCTCCAACTACCTTGGTCCTGAAAGTCAACCTCCATGAATCAACCACATCTTTGACATTCTTCTTATAATTAACTTCTTTGTAATTGAACTCAACACTATCCAGCTCATACGTCACTAGAATGAATTGTCGATCACCGTATTATCTTAGGACCATCAAAGGAGCTCACTTGACTCCTCCCTATAGCCCCAGAAGCATAATCCAATCCAAGCCTCCATATTTGAACAATATTTGAGTGTGCATCAGCCATGGGGTCTTCCATGATAGGCTTTGATCTTGTAGATTTCTGAAGAAATTGATCCACTAGTATTTATGTGACGTCTCAGGACATTCTTTTATAAGATTGTAGTTGACTTTTTCTTCTCTCTAATGGGAGAATAATCCTTCAAAAAATGATTATAGTTTACTTTTTCTTTTCTCCAGAAATGACTTCTGATCAAAACAGTAAGCAACTAAACGCAACCCATAAAGTGCCCTCCTCCCAGTCTCCTACATATATTCAAAATAAGAAATTCTCAGCTAGAATCGTAAGAACTAGATTCAACTATCTCTTCATTTTTTCTACTAAGTCAACCATAGCTAACTGGACGAGCCCCAACGACTTTGGAAAAATTACTAAACCATAAATCCCTAAGGCAAGTACATTTCTTCGTACATTTTCATACATGTGTCCTTCGATTATCTTTTTCAGTTGGGACCACGACACTCCTTCATTTTCTCTCTTTCACTGTAGGCGATTGATCACCCATTTATCACTTGTACTCGAGATCTTTGCAGGTTTTGACTTGAAGAACGGTCCTTTTATCGACCAGTAATAGATCTTATCCACTTTAAATTTGGGTAAATTCAACAAAAAGTGGTATTCTTCTCGGGTCGGAGTCATGTATTCCCGATTGAAGGTGAATCAATTATAGGTTGGATTCCAGAATTGTATCATTCTTCAAACTAAGATCGGTTGTACAGTTTCATACATCTGATGGAATATGTCTCCATAAACTTGTTGAATACCTGATTTTCAGTAAAATTCTAACTCTCCCATACTGCTTTCAGCCTCTGAAGCTCATTTTTTTATGGAAGCCTACATGTAATTAGATAATTCAGACACGTAATGCCCCTGTAAACTATCCCCTTGCACTTTTTGCTTTGTTTCAGACCAATTTTGCACATATGCAAGATTCTCTTCTTTGTTTAGGAAACTTTTCTACATTGTGAAAGTTTTTCACTGTATGGATAGTTACAAATCAATCACCTTTTCCTTATGTTATGTACATGTAGTATGAAGAAAGGAAAACAAAAACAAAACAAACAAAAACAATTAGTCAAGATAAATGCGTAAGGTTAACAAAAGGGGTTCTACCCTCATACTATCTACCCAAACATGATATATTTATAGTTCGCATGCTTTTATCCGAAAATAATAAATCTATTCTACACAATTGAAAATAAATAAATAAAAGGTTAGAGTAAGTTTCTCCTTCGTGTACACCTATTTTGGTACTTACTGACAGACAGAGGTTCGGTATGACTATACCTAGGGTGACAGTTCTATGGTTCACTATATGTATGGTTACGACTCTAACGAAAAAAGTACTCAAATTGTCCTTGTTGGAGGTGCCCCCTTGGTCTACCAAACCCTCATTCCTAACACATTATGGGCATAAATAGATCGAGTTCAATTCTAGGGGTTCACTTCATTATACCCATACAAAAAATAATTTCCTACAAAGGTATAAAGCATGTGTACCCCATGGGTTATTTGCTAAAACTCATATGAAGAATAAATTCTTAAGAGAGTATAGCTTTCACCCCTACTTACTTGGGACGAAGCTCGGGTGTAGAGCTTATGTCATGTAAATGCACATGATGTGTGTGAGGAGAAACATACAAACCTTTGACTCAAAAATAGAAAAGTCTTGGCAGAAACTTTAACATAGCCGAAAACATAAATTAAAACGTTAGTATGATAAAAATAAAGAATTTAGAAAAACTTCAATAAATGAATCATAAGTAAACTATAGACTCAAACTCATAATTTACACAATTACGACAATGTATAAGCGACTTACAGCCTGACTCTCTAATTTCCCCAACAGAGTCACCAAGCTGTCATAACCATTTAAAAATCTTTTAATTTTAAAAAATTAATTATGACTTTATTTGAAAAAATTTGGGATTTTTAATTAGTTTGAATTATTAAGAATTGGAGTCGCCATCTACATTTGGGTAAGGTAGTCGAACACTTAGAAAAGTCTTTTAAACAATTTTAAGAAAAAGTATTTTTAAGAAAAAAAGCTGGTATGTTTTACCAAAAAATTACTTTTAAGGGTTCAGGAATTGATTACACGTGGGGAAGGATAATCAACCTCACAACGCCTAGAATTGGTACTTAGTCGCTTACATATTGTCGTAAATAGTGGACATCATAAATTTGAATCAATATTTAAAATATGATCCTTTTATTGAACATTGAATAATGGTTTCAAATTAATTCTTAGGGAAATTTCTTAAATTTGAAAAAGAAATCTCGAGATTCGCAATCCTTCATCTGGAAGGCTATCCCATCTATTTTTTTTTTGTAAAAGAATATTTTCTCCTTAAAAATATTAAATTGAAAAAGAAATTAATACTAGAACTTGTATGAAATAATTTGTTACTTTTTATCTAAAAAAGGTAATTTGTCAATAATTAGATTTAATAAGAATAAAAAATGAGATAAAATAACATAAAAATAGAATAAGATAAGATAAAACAAAATAAATAAAAATATTACTATTATTTAATAAATAAAAATGTTAGATTTATTTCAAGTTCACCCTTCGTTCAAATATTGTATGGAATCGCACTACCTCTATAAGGTGGTTCTTTTCACACTCATTCTACATCGAGTGTTTTTGAAAATGTTCGATTAAAATATATATTGACAAATAAGGGGTATAAATTAATTACTAAAAATAAATATATATTGAATTATGTAAAGAAATAAAAATTTATCAAACAAACATATATAGTACATACTTATAAAAATATGCAGAATAAAATGCATTTATAGTACAAATGTAACTAAGAATATTCATTTAATTTAATGATATACATATATAAATCTATGTATTGTAATATAGATTAATAATAAAAATAGAGTTACAAATATGAAATAAAATATATATATATATAAATATGATGGGTTAAAATACTAATAAAAGGAACTAATCATGCTTAATAAAAAGGGTTTAAGTATTAAAAACAATTTTGAGTTTAACAGTGATCAAGAATCGTGGTCTATATAAGAATATAAGTGTACTGATAGTAATAAATCCAAAACAACATGCATGACTAAAATAAAATAAAGTAAAGTATCATGCTCCCAACATAAACTAAACCAAAAGTACAACAACATAACAAAGGTTACTAAAATGAGCTAAAGAAAGCATACATTACATAAATATGAATACACTAAAATAGAATGGCTAATTCATGAATATAAGAATAAATATACTCATAAGTAACTGATGAAGAAATTAAAATACCAAAAAATGCGTGAGCCCAAAATGAAATAAGGTAAAAGCTTCATTGATGGCTGGAATGAAAAGATTACAAACTACGACAGACCTCCCGTGAATAACCCACACGCTGTATACACACATCCCTACTCCTAAAGCTATGCCGTTTTGCGTCTGGTTTATAAGTCTAAAATCAAGACCAAAAAATGCCTATAATTTCATTTCCTCCTATATTCACTTAGTTATAAAAAAACCTAAATATGCTCTCCTCCCCTCTTCACTCCCCACCGCCGTAGGTGACAGCAAAACCCAAGGCCACTACGACTCAGTGACGCCGACACCCGAAACCCTTTTAGACTTAGCCTAGTTGAAAAGGTAAGGTTTTACCTTAAATGATGAAGAAGGAGCCAAAACCATCGTCCCTCAAAGGTAAGATCTTTTCGGGTTTTTCTTTTCGCTTTACCTCTTTTTTGTTTCTTTTGTTTGAAAATACCTTCCCCAGTTCTTTTTGTTCGAGAAAGTTAACCCTTTTTTTTGGTTTGAAAAGAACTCTTTTTTCTTTCTTTTTTTCGAAATCCCCCTTTGTTCGAATATGGTGTTTTGTTTTTTCTCTCCTCCAATTGTTCCCCTTGTTCGAAAATAATATCCTCTCTTTTTATTGCATGCCCGATTTATGGGTGTTTTTCGGGTGAAATCACGAGTCCTCTTCGTAGAAGGATGATTTCCCTATATTTGAGTAGGTGAAATCCCTAAATTTTTGGGATTTAACCCATTTTTAATGGGATTTTTTATTTGAATTGTTGTTTGACTTGATTTGGTTCATTTTTTTATTGTTTGCCCAGATTTGATGATGGTGGTGGCTCTGGATATCAATCGGTGGTGGTTCACGTGGCTGGGGAACCGAACGGTGGAACGCATGTATCGCACGCGCTAATCAGGCAGGTTGTCTTTGCTGGGTGGCGACGGTGGCTGGCTGATAGGAGCATTAGGGTGAAAACCCTAATTTGTAATCTATAATCTGGACGCTTGATCTCTATCTCGATCTGACGGTGGAGATTAGGTGGCTATGTTAGAACATGATAAAACCCTAATGTGTTTGGGTTTTCATCATTGGGTCCGCTGGACAAATGTAACGAGCTTGGGGTATTTGTATTTTTGGCTTATAAATTGGATCTGTAAAATACAAAGGAATATTATATGTTAGTATTTTATTTATAATAATAAGTAGTAATAATAATAATTAATAAACAATTACTATTAATAGTAATTAATAATAATACTTAGTATTAATAAATAATAATAATATAATAATTAGTAATAATAATAATTTAAAATACTAATAATGATTTATAATAATAATAATATGTAAAATTTATGAGAATTTACTTTGGATAAAATTAGGTGTCTACATATGATTAACCATAAAAATTATTGGTTGAGATCTAATCCCAACATGACAAGAATGGGGAGGAGGATTAACGTCATTCATACTAGGATTTGATCTCAACAATCCCAACACCACTAAAAGGGGAAGAGAAATTTAAAATGAGATTTAATCCAAAGTTTACTCCTGACACTCATTTTCGTCTAGAACTTATTTTGATATTTCATATTATATGTATTTTGTTTGGTGTTCATAATATATACTATATATTATAGTGTATTGTATTATATAGTATTTATATTATATAGTATATAATATATATAGTATAGTATAGTATTTATATATATATATATATATATATATATTATTTTATATGGTATTTATTTATATAGTATATATGTTATAGTATATATATATATATATTATTTACATATTATTGGTATATTTATATTATTTTTTATTATACTGTATATTATTATATTATATATTATTAATATTAGTACTATTACTATTATTATTATTATTATTAGGTCCAAATCCAATCCAACAAAAGTCCAACCAAGGTTCAAGTCAAGTTAAGGTCAAAATAAATGCCCAACCAAGCAAGCAGGCCTGATCCAACATGCAAGCCTCGTTGGGAGTCCAATAAGGAATCCCATTCGTCCAAGTCTAACAGAAATTAGGGTTTGTAGACATTAGCGTAGATGATGCATGGTTCATGGCTGTTAGATCAAGTTAAAATCTGACGGTTCATATCAATAGGGAAATAGGGTTTTGGAGCACTAAAAGTTTCATCACAGGCGCAGTCGTATGAGAGCTTTTAAATCTATTCTTTTGATCTAACGGTCAAAATTGCATCAAGAGCCAAAAGAAAATTACAACAGTCTGATCAACGATGTATGGTTTTCATGCGCCGGTAAAATAGGCCATACACATCACCACATGTCGAACCTAAACTCATATCATAGGTACTATGAACGATTTTCGCCAAAGATTAGAAATATTTCTTTCCAGAACAACAATCCGAAGCCACAATGACAACAAATCATTGAAAGATGGCACACAACCAAATTGAATCAACATGCATGCAACAAAACTAAAGTCAAATCCATAAAAGGAAAAATAGAGGAAATATATCCTCTTTTTTCCATCAAACCTCATTGATTATGGGACAAGAATAAATCAAATCCTCGCCAGTTTAAGGAAAGAAACCACCTATAAAACCCCTTTGTAAAAAAGAGAAACATGAAGCTTTTATCCATTCGAAACCCACAAAAAAATAAACAAAAAGAAAAAGAGAATGAGAGGAACTTAGTTGTTTATCCAAAGGGGGCCTTCACTTGAAGAGATGAACGGTCATCAGGAATCGAAAGGTCACCAGAAAAAAGGTAAAACTGTGGTCTTCTTTTGTAGATCCACGTCAAGGTACTCTTTTTGGGGTTGTTTGGTTGAGGGATTTGTGTTCACAGGATCAAGATGAGTAAAATGGTTAGTTTTTAGGATTTAACCCACAAGTGGTGGCGGCTAGAGTAGCGCCGGGCGGTGGAGCTATGAGTCGGAGAAGATGATCAATTTTGGGGTGAGATAAGAGTATTTTGAGATATTTTTTTTTTGTTTTTTAAGTGTGAGTAAAAATGAAGTGAAAAAGGGAATAATGGTTATATATAGGAGGGGTTTCTCTGTAATTAATAAATAATTAAATTATTTTTACAGTCCCTGTAAGTTTGATGCATAATTCATTTTGGTTACTACTTATAATTTAACCCTTGAAGTTTAGTTTAATTCAATTTAATCCTTTTTTATTTTATTTTTATTCATTATATTTTTATAAATTGGTACATTTACCCATTTGTTGTTTTGCAGTATTTATTTTCGTTTAACCTTAATTTTATTTTTAAGGGACCCTTTTTAATATCAAAATTCATCAAAAGTAAGTTATTTGGATCAAATATTTAAATTTTAATCTAAATTTCACAATTAAGAAAATCAAGTAATTGTGTTGGTGTCGAAAGGGCAATACAAGGGTGTTTATCATTCATCGATTGTAATCGACTCTCGAATCTGACTAATTTCTAGTAAGACACATATCTAGTAAATGGTAAGTTTAAGGTGTTCAATTGACCTAACTCAAAACGATCGGTGGTGACTCCATCACATCAATTTAAGTTGAAGCGTAGATCCAGGAACATTCGAAGGATTGTTACGACAGCTTGGTGACTCCACTGGTGACTTCAAGAGAGTCAAGCTAAAAAATCAATTTTCAGTTGTCTTCTTAGGTGAAAGTTGTAAGTTTAGGTTTTTAATTTATTTTTGATCCTTTTTATTTACCTTTGATTATTTTTTAATAAATAGTTAGACTAACCGTCTTCTAATGATTTTAGTTTTAAAAAAGAAAAACAACACTCATCTCAAGCTCTATTCCTGAGCTCCAAACCTTTTTAAGTGGGGGTGAAAGCGATGCCTTTGTGAGAATTTATTCTTCATATAGGCCTAGCAAGTAACCTTCGGGGTTCATATAACTTATGTCTTTGTAAGAATTTATTCTTCGTACAAGCATAAGAGAATGTATCCTTTCGAGTTTAACTTAGTCAACACGAGCCTGTGATGGTTTTAGGACCGAGGGTCTGGTAGGCCTAATGGGGCAGCAGCAATGAGAACTCATGTCCCTTTTTTAGAACCAAATTATGTTGCTGTGAGAAATTAGAGCCCATCTCGAAGCCACATTCAAAACCTAGGATGATTAATTTATTTTCTTGCTTTAAATTTATTGCTCAAAGCATGCGAACTAGAAATTTGTGGTTAGAATTTATCCAATCAAAAAGCATGTGGGTTAGAAATCATGTTTGGGTAGGAGAAAAAGCATTGGGGGTAGATATCATGTGGGGTAGGAATTATTATTTTAATTTTAATTATTATTTTTCCTTACTAACTTATTTTTTCTTTTGTTTTTTTTATTTCTTATAATCTGCATCATTACATAGAGGTGTTGATCTGTGAAGTGTTTGTTAACTTCAAATAGTTTTCATTAATGGACAAAGGGTTGTGATGAAAGAGGTTAAAAACGTGGATCTACAGTTGTGCTTAGAGAAGACTAAAAAAAGGGACAATCTCCAAGGCGATTACGTGTCAGATTTGGCTGGCTACACTTCAATCAATTTTAAGCAGAATGATGTCCAGGAGCTGTGAAGCATGTGGGGCAAGCAGAAGCATAAAAAGAACAAAACGTTCTATCAATGCTATGGAAACATCGCCCACTTGCTCATCAAAGTGGATGAGGCTTCAATCTGAGCCTTGGTTCAGTTCTAGAACTCATGATGCATCTGTTTCACCTTCAACAAGGAGGGTATGATGCCCATTATTGAGGAATACATGACTTTGTTGTACTACGAAAGATTCTATATAGATCAAATTAATTTCAAACATGACAAAGATTGCAGGAGTATATCAAGTCAAATAAAAAGATAATGAGATTAAAGAAGTCCCTGCAAAAGCAAAATGAACAAGAAAGCATTGAATGTGAAGCCTTTAGAACATCGTGAAAGGATACAATAGAAAGGTAAGCAAGCTCCAAATAGTCCCCTGCGATGGAGGTCCATTATTTTGCATTTTTTTTTAAATTTTGCATCAATATGCATTCATTTTTAAAATAAAATCAATTAATAAATAATATTTTATCGATAAAGGAACAAATATTGGACTCACCACATTCTAATAACACCGATTTAAAGCAAGGAAAATAGAAGCAATACTCGCTCAAATTAAAGACAACATGTTGAAGTTGGAAAAGGAGTTGAAGGACAAGATAAATCAGAAACACTAGAAGACTTTGAACACCAACACCAAGAACCAAGATTCTCTGGTCGACCAAATTGTGGAAAGACTGACAGAGCTAATATTAAAATACATCCTTGGAGTGGGGACATCTGAACGAGTGGTTGTACAACCCACTCCAAAGTTGGTGATCACAGCCAAAAATCTACCAAGATACTTAGGGGATTCATCTTCCATACAAGCTTCAATAATGAATCCTCAAAACAATCCCGAAGATAATCACATTCCAGACTTCAATGAAGAATATTAGGCAAGGAATATGGAAGATAAAACCAAACATTTGAAAGAGCATATGAGAACCATGAAGGGAGAAGGCAATCCTTATGATATTGATTCCTTGGAGCTAAGTTTGGTCCCGAACCTAATTTTACCCCCTAAATTCAAAGTCCCAGACTTTGAGAAATTTGATGGGAATAATTATCCGTTAGATCATATCACCATGTTCTATCGGTAAATGACAAGATATGTTGGAAATGATAAGCTCTTGATCCTATACTTTCTGGAAATTCTAACAACTTCATCAATTCGTTGGTACAATCAATTGACCATGATTCACATCAAGTCTTGGAAAGATCTCGCTAAGTCTTTCTTAGAATAATTGATAACTCCTTAAAAAAAGTGTTCTGGTTTAGGTTATTGTTTATCTAAAATCCATTTGTCATAGCATTTTAGTTGCATATAGTTGCATGTAGTATACATTTGCATGTGGTGGATAAGTTCTGCTGAGGCAAACTTTATTTGGTTTAACTGATGCTGCTGAAGAGGAAGGTTGTTTGCTGGTTGTGTTGATGCAGGAAATGACGAAGGAGGAATTTATTTGCCGAGCAAATTAATTTACTAAGGCCAGCGAAACAGAAAAAAATGACAGTGAGGAACATATTTTCTTTCCTAGGCGAGAGATTTCATACAAGTCTGACACAACCTGATGTCACTTGCCCAGCTTGAACCTCACGTGCACTCATGCTCTTAGTAAGTTAATGGGGGACCA